ATTACTTATCACGTTGGTTCCAGTTACAACCATCTGCAAATTGAACAATTCAATAAGTTAATTGGAAGGATTTAGAAGATAAAAATAAATTAATGACAAACAGGAACACATTATAGATAAATAGTAGAATAACAAAAGAAAAGGAAAAAAAGTGCAGTAAATGAATCAGGAAAAGATATTACACTCAATTTTATGATTACTTTGAATATTTCTTATTAAGAGATAGGTAGTGTCCCGTACCAAGTGTACGCGTAGCACGAGTGTGTTAACTTATGCTTTAATGTCCTAGTTAATGGGAAAATACCCGTATATTAAATAAATTCAGATATTAACGGAATATAGCTGAGTATCTGTAATATCCAAAATAACTAGGAAATATCAGATACACAAGTACACAATAGTCGGAATATTTCTGATAATAATACTTATACTGAATAATAATAATAGAAACATTATCAGAATTAATTTAATTCGATTATTTGAACAATATACATCTCAGATAGCACACAGAGTCCAATAGTATTCATTAGTATATTCAGTTTTATGTTATCAATTCTGAGTTCATTTACAAAAAGAATTCTTTTTACATCTGAAAATGAATTCAGAATTGGTGACATATAACTGAGTTCTTTTTTCACTTTCTGAGTTATCTAAGATCATTTTCGAAATGGCTTAGATATGCGAACGAATGGAAATACGAGATTAGTACAAGCAGTTTAAAATTTCTGAACTATTCCTGATTCTAATTAATAGAAGCAGTGTTATTTTATTATTTGTAAAAATATTTCAATTTTCTCTCTCACGAGAAATAATGATTTTCTAGAAGATAATCGAAATAAGATTATATGCAAGATCATTCTAAGAATGTAAAGTAAAAACGTCCTTGTACATCACTGGGATATTTTGTCTATACATTATTATTCTTAAATAATTAGTAATAATAAGTATGTTTTGATTATTTAACTTTTTAATTAATAATAAAATTTTGTTTAATTTAAAAAGAATACGTGGAAACAGAAAACATACCATATTTTTCGTGTACTGAGAGTCATCTACGCAATGAGCGGCAGTGGTGATATGCGTAGCATCAATGATGCTACCACCGCAAAATTGCTGGCCATTCACTTGAAGGGAAACTTGATGAGGAAATTGATCAGGTCTAGCATAGTTTCCACCAACGATGAACGGTTCAGTTTCACCGCAATAAACCTCTATATACAATTATTAAAATTGAAATTATTATCTATTACTCCGTTATATTATTATGTATTATTATAAAAATATTTGAAATTATTATTTATTATTTTGAAAATATTTTATATTTAAAGAAACAGATTAACAATATTCGTATTTTTCAAAATGGCAGAAGCATTATTTAAAAAGATCCATATTTAAAACATAGATACATTTTAACTTCTATTAAGTTTTGTTTTGTAAAAATTAACAGGTATGTCTATAAAAAATATTCTACACATATTATTCATGTGTTTGTAAGTTACTGGTTTTTGTTTACTTACGCTGGGCGATGGTCACAGTGAGCAGAATAATTAACTTCATCATCTTCGCAAATTAAATTGAGATATATCGACTTACTTACGAACTCAACTGAGGAGGCTACTGTATCGTCCCTTTTTATACATGTCGCTTACAATTAAACTGCCGTGTATCATCAGCGCTTTTAACATTGCATTTTGTCGTTTATTTTACGTCTAATGAATGACAGTATTAACGATATTAATAATAAAGATAAAATGACATAATAGCTCTAATTGCGCGCTTCCGGAACGCAGTCTTAAAAACACACAGATAACTCATCGTTATCTGACGCAAAAGCAGCATTCTATTAATTATATTGCTACGTCTTTTCGAAAGACACATATTAGACATACGCAATAAACACATACTCAACACAAATATTTGCATTGCGTCGCAAACAGGTGTCGGGCGATTCTGTCATCGTCGATAAAATGGTATTTTTAAAAATGCAGCTTTAATGTTTTTAATTTTCATTATTTTATTATTTGTTAAACGAAAAGGATTTTAATAATTCCATTGTAAGAACTGTAATATAATTTTTTGTTATTTGTTGTGTGGAATGTTATCTCATTTACAAAATTTAGAAATGTTAATGCTTATAGTATAAAATTATTTTTTAAATGTAAATTATTAGCAAATAGATTGAAATTCTTTGACAGAATCGAGATAAACAACTTGTAAACATTAATGTATACATCAGACATTCCCAAAGCGCAGGGCAAGACCCAAAAAATAACACCAACGAACTGGACAACGAGAAAGCTACAGTATGACAAAAAATTCTTAATTAATAGTGTATAATATCAAATGACGAAACGGTGTCACATAATTAATAAACATCGTCAACATTAGAAACGTTCGTATTTAATTTACTAATTTTCATACAATCATTCCCTTTTTGCTCAGAAATGTATTTTATTTATATAATTTTTCATTATTTTAAATAAATATGTATGCGCAAAAGTTATTTATAAAAATAGTTTACACTTTATTAAATCAAGTGAAAAAAATGTAAACTTTAATAATTCGATTCTAATAAAACAAATGCATAATAAAACAATCTAAATGTACATGACAAATATCCAGAATTAAATATCAAATCCTAAGCTGTTCTAAAACGCATAGCAAATTGGATTGTAAAGCCCGATGTCTCTCAAATTTTCCTTTTCTCGAGTTCATTCATTGCCTTCACAATTACAATTGCGCGTACATTCGTCACCTGATTAGCCCGAATACGACGATCGCAAAGTTTTCCGTAGCACTGCTGGTTTCGAATACTACGATCGCACGAAACTTTCGACAGCTCTGCCGATGCGACGATTGAATGCAACACGAATTTCTAGCGAAATACGTAAAATATTTTTAATAACAGATAAACATATCAAGCGCAATTTATTCGAATTACTCGACTTAACTGTGATTCACTTTGTACTCAAAATTCGACTAATAAAAATTAAATTAATTAATTAGTTTTAATTAATTTTTCAGCGAAAAATTTAAAAAACTATTTATTATTCTTTAGATTTATTATTGTGAAATAATTATTATGATATATGTATAAATCCCAGACTTGTTAGGCAAATAATTACTGACCAGAATGGATGGTTATTTTATTCCCTCGTTCAAATTTTTATTTTCAACAAAATAAGTCGCGCAAAGTATCTTCTTCGAACAAATAGTCATTTCTTCAGTATGTATGTAGAACGTTAAGAACTGCGAGAGTTAAGTAATAATACGAACTGTATTATCGCAAAGTGCTCGTAAGAAAAAATCATCGAAAGATGATAACGCCAGAGTTCGGTTTTTGCTTGTAACGAATAAATCGCATAAAGTATCTGTTTCGACAAATAATAGTCACTTTGATACACATATTGAACGTTAACGAAAGTTAAGTCATAATGCAGACCGAATTCGCGAATTGTTTGTAAGAAGAAAATAATTATCGAGGAGTAATAATGCGACGATATACGGAGCGTTTTACTTATACCGCTTTCAAAATATATGATAATTTTAAGAAACTAAATTAATTAGAACATAATAAATATTTTTTGTATTGTGTACGTCATAATTGATGATAATTATTCAAATAAATAAATAAATGAATGTATATTATATAAATATATATAATATATGTATATATTATACGTGAAATTATTCTTAATCTATCAGAAATATTTAAATAGTAATAACACTGTGTAACCAAAAAACACTTTTTTCTTTCACTGAAGAGCGATCATACATTTCCTAAAGATTTTTTCGCCCTGAACACGATGCCATTTGAAGAATTCACAGCAAATTGAAATGAAAGTGACCAAAAATGGCGTTTTTAGCTAATTTTAACATTTTCTTGGGGCAAAACGGAAACTGGTTTTTAAATGAACATAATGGTATTTTCATATCATCATTCAGGTGCTTTTAAATAAACTTTGGTTCATGACCGTAAGACTTTTTTCCATCAAATTGGCTGTTTGAATTTTATACTTTTAGACTTTTTATACACTGTGTTACAAACTATTTGTAAAAGTTTGATTAATTCCCTTTACATTTGTTCCATTTGTATTGAGCTACGTGACTTTTGGGGTGTTTTATTTGATACAAATAGCAGAAAGTAAATACTTTTTGTATTATAATTGTAAAAATTAAATTAAATTTTTATTGCTCTTTAGAGGCTAAATTACATAGTTCTTAAAGTTACATCTGTTGACATTGCTGACGTTTAATCAGCGTCTCATGAGCTATAAAATTAAAAAGAATGAATAAAAGATTTTATTGAGAGACTATTTCCCATAAAGTTTATGCAAAGTCTTTTAATATTTTCTGTTACTTATAATTTTGTTATATTTTGAATTATTGTCCAACATACGTATACAATTAATTTTCTCGCAGTTACACGCAGATAGGAATGATAGAATTGTTCAGCTTATTTGATTAAAAAGTAACATTTTATTATTTTTGAAAACTACAAAAGAAAATTTTATTACATTGCAAATAAAAAATAAAATTATATATATTTTTCAAATATTTCTTAAAATATTGTTTTAATGTTTTTGATATTCATTAAAAGAGTTTTATTATTCGTTAAATAAAAAGATTTTTAAAAAGTCCATTCTAAGAACGGTAATATAATTTTTTTGTTATTTGCCGCGTGAAATATTATCTTATTTACAAAATTTTAGAATGTAAATACTTAGAGAATTAAATTCTGTTTTAAATGCAAATTACAATATTAGCACGTCATAGATTGAGATTGTTTGATAAAATCGAGATATTTGTAAACATTAGTGTGTACATCAGGCACTCCCAAAGCGCAGAGCGTGACCCAAGAAACGACACCAACGAGCTCGTCACCGACAATGACAGGACCACCGCTGTCACCCTAGAAAAAGTGTGACAAAGAACTCTTAATTAATAATTCATACAACAGTGAACGACAAAACAGTGTTACATAATTAATAAACTATGTCATTAAAAATCCGCCCGTATTTAATTTACTAATGTTTCTTACAATTAGTGAAAACTATACGCATATCTAAGTGCTCGTGAAATGCGTTATGCATAATTTAAGATACAAGTAAGTGTAAGAATAACTCACACTGCAGGCACCGTTCCCAACTCTGTCCAGTGTACATATCTGATTTTCCCTGGTGGGCGGATATCCTCTTCTTTGTAGGCAGCTTTGTTGGCTTAAGACGTTCACATCAACATATTTGAGCACTGGCGAGGCCGGTGCATTTACATCAGTTCTTCCCCATCCGCTCACGATACCGCGAGAAGCGCCGGTAGTATAGTTTCTACTTGCTAAACGAATTGCTTTTTGCAAATTGTTAAATACGATCGGCTCTTTCAGCTATATAAACAAACATTCGCACTTATTATTGCATGATATTACGCAATTAAAAATAAGAATAATTAAGATACATTATATATAAAATTTCTTTAATATGATCCTCTTCTTATTCTCTTTCTCGACACTTGATGAATTTAATGAACTTACAGTGATCACAGCGACATCATCTTTCCAGGAATCCGCTTTTTCACCAGTGTAGCCTGGGTGTATTCGAATACACTTGATTTCGTGCTTGTTGCCACTTCCACGCGCTATCATGTTGGTTCCGGTTACGACAGTCTGCAAATTGAACAATTTGATAAGTTAATTGGAAGGGTTTAGAAGATAAAAGTACGTTAATGACAAACAGGAACACATTATAGATAAATAGTAGAATAACAAAAAAAGGAGAAGAGAGAGCAGTACATAGATGAGTCAGAAAAAGATATTATGCACTCAATTTTATGATTTCTTTAAATATTGCTTATCTAAGAGATACGGTAGTGTTTTGCACCAAGTGTACGCGTAGCACGAGTGTGTTATAACTTGTGCTTAATGTATGGTTAATAAGGAAATACTCGTGTATTAAATAAATTCAGATATTAACGGAGTATAGATGACAATGAGTATCTGTAATATCCAAAATGACTAGGAAATATTTGCAGATACGCAGGTACATAATACTAGTCGAAATATTTCTGATATTAGAATAATAATACTAATAATAATCGAAACATTATCAGAATTAATTTAATTCGATTATTTGAACAATATACATCCCAGATAGCACACAGAGTCCAATAAAATTCATTAGTATATTCAGTTTTATGTCATCAATTTTGAGTTTATTTGTAAAAACAATTCTTTTTACATTTGAAAATAAATTCAGAATTGGTGACATATAACTGATTGTGAATTCATTTTTCACTCTCTGTGCTATCTAGGATATCTTTTTCTAAATGACTTAGATATGCGAACGAATAGAAGTACGAGATTAGTACAAGCAGTTTAAAATTTCTGAACTATTTTTAATTCTAATTAATAGAAGCAATGTCATTTTAATATTTGTTAAAATATTTCAATTTTCTCTCTCACAAGAAATAATGATCTTCTAGAAGATAATCAAAATAAGGTTATATGCAAGACCATTCTAAGAATGTAAAGTAAAAACATCCTAGCTTGTACATCACTGTGGGGATATTTTGTTTATACATTATTATTCTACTTGAATAAATAGTAATAATAAGTATGTTTTGATTATAATTTTTTAATTAATAATAAAATTTTGATTTAAAAAGAATACATAAAAAGAAAAAACGTACCATATCATTCGTGTACTCAGGGTTATCTACGCAATGAGCGGCAGTGAGAATGTGCGTAGAATCAATGATGCTACCTCCGCAAAATTGCTGGCCTCCAAAAACTTGAAGGGAGACTTGATGTGCAAATTGACCAGGTCTAGCATAGTTTCCACCAACGATGAACGGTTCAGTTTCACCGCAATAAGCCTCTATATGCAATTATTAAAATCAAAATTATTATCTATTACTTTATTATATTATTACGTATTATTATAAAAATATTTTATATTATTATCTATTAGTTTGAAAATATTTTATATTTAAAAAAATAGATACAATATTCGTATTTTCCAAAATGACAGGAGCATTATTTAAAAAGATCGATGTTTAAAGAATAGATACATGTTAACTTCTGTTAAGTTTTGTAAAAATTAACAGATACATCTATAAAAAATATTCTATACATATTGTTCATGTATTTGTAAGTTACTGATTTTTGTTTACTTACGCTGGGTGATGGTCACAGCGAGCAGAATAATTAACTTCATCATCCTCGCAAATCAAATTGAGATATATCGACTTACGAACTCGACTGAGGAGGCAACTCTATCATCCCATTTTATACATGTCACTTACAATTAGACTGTCGTGTATCATCAGCGTTTTTAACACTATTGCATCTTGTCGTATTTATTTTATGTCTAATTAATAATAAAGATGAAATGGCATAATAGCCCTAATTGCCCGCTTCTGGAACACAGTCTTAGAACACGCAAATAATTCATCGTTATCTGACGCTATTCTATTATATTGCCATGACCATGACTCTTTAAAACTCATATTAGGACATATGCGAAACACACATATTCGCGTCACAAAACACATGTCGGACGATTCTGTCGTTATCGATAAAATTTTATGTTTTAAAATTTTAGTTTTAATGTTTTTGATTTTTATTATTTTATAATTTGTTAAACAAAAGGATTATAAGAATTTCATTGTAAGAACTGTAATAGAATTTTTTGTTATTTGTTGTGTGGAATGTTATCTCATTTACAAAATTTGGAAATGTTAATACAGTATAAAATTATATTTTAAATGCAAATTATTAGCACATAGATTAAGATTCTTTGACAAAATCGAGATAAACAACTTGTAAACATTAGTGCGTATACATCAGATATTCTCAGAACGCAGAGCAAATCCCAAGGAACAACGCCAACAAACTCGTTATCAACTGCAACGAGGGAGCCACCACTGCCAGAAAAAGTGACAAAAAATTCTTAATTAATAATGTACAATATCGAATGACGAAATGGTGTCACATAATTAATAAACATCATCATTAGAAACGCCCGTATTTAATTTGCTAATTTTTATACAATCAGATCCCTTTTTCCTTAGAAATTTATTTTATTTATATAATTTTTTATTATTTTAAATAAATATGTATGCGCAAAATTTATTTATAAAAATAGACTACTCTTTATTAAATCAAGTAAAAAAAAATGCATATTTTAATAAATCGACTCTAATAGAACAAATGCATAATAAAACAATTTAAATGTACATGACAAATATCCAAGATTAAATATCATAAATCCTAAACTATTCTAAAACGCGTATCAATTGGATTGTAAAGAGAGAGAGAGAGAGAGAGAGAGAGAGAGAGAGAGAGAGAGAGAGAGAGCCCGATGTCTCTCAAATCTCTTCCTTTTCTCGAGTTCATTCATTGTCTTCACAATTTCAATTGCGCGTATAGCCCGAATACGACGATTGCAATGCTTTCCGTAGCACTGCTGGTTTCGAATACTACGATCGCACGAAGCTTTCGACAACGCTGCCGATGCGACGATCGAATGTGATGCGAATTCCTAGCGAAATGCGTGAAATATTATTAATAAAAGATAGATATATCAAGCGCAATTTATTCGACTCAACAGTGATTTGCTTTGTACTAAAAATCCGATATATAAAAATTTAAATAATTAATTAATTTTAATTAATTTTTCAGCGAAAAATTAAAAAAACTGTATTTATTATGCTTTATATTTATTATTGCAAAATAATTATTATGAGATATGTTCAAATCCCAGACTCGTTAGGCAAATAATTACTAACCGGAATGGAAGGGTATTTTATAATTTTCTATAGTTCCAATTCTTACTTTCAATAAAATAAGTCGCGCAAAGTATCCGCTTCAACAAACAGTCATCTCATCAATATAATGTAGAACGTTAAAAACTGCAAAAATTAAGTAATAATGCAGACTATATTTTGGCAAACTGCTCGTAAGAAGAAATCATCCAGAGATAATAACGCCAGAGATAAAAGAAATGTCTTATTGATTTCTTATCGTTTTGGTTCTTGTTTCTAACAAATAAGTCGCACAAAATATCTGCTTCGACAAATAATTGTCACTTTGATACATATATTAAACATTAACGAGAGTTAAGTCATAATGCCAAATTCGCGAACTGTTTGTAAGAAGAAATTAATTTTCGAGAAATAATAACGCGACGATATGTGGAGCGTTTTATTTATACTGCCTTCAAAATATATGATAATTTTAAGAAAATAAATTAATTAAAACAATAAAAATTATATGTACTATGTACGTCGTAATGGACAATAATTATTTAAATAATTGAATGTATATTATAAATATATACATATATTATACGTGTAATTATTCTTAATCTATCAAAAATATTTAAATAGAAATGACACTTTTTTCTCTCACCGAAGAGCGACCATACATTTCTCAAAGATTTTTTTGTGCACTATGCCGTTTGAAGAATTCACTTAGCACATTAGGATTTTGAGTAAATTGGAATAAAAGTAACCAAAAATGTTTTTAACTACTTTAACGTTTTCTTGCGGCAAAACCACAAGAAATGGTTTCTAAATGAATTCAAGTGCTTTCAAACGAACTTTGGTTCATAACCGTAAGACTTTTTTCATCAAGTTGGCTGTTTGAATTTTATACTTTTAGACTTTTTATATATTGTGTCATAAAAAAATACTTTTTTCTCTTTTCAAAGTGCGACGGTACATGTTTCAAAGATTTTTTCGCGCTAAACATGCCGTTGGCAAAATTCGCCTAGCACGTCAAGATTTTGAGTAAATTCGAATGAAAGTGGCCAAAGTTTTTTATACATGTATATAAAGTGTATTTTCATAAAATGGAAATTAATGGTGAGATATACCCGCTGACACTTTTAGTCACCGTCCCATTAACTATAATATTACAAAGTATTATAAAGTATGAATAAAAAACTGTATTGAGAGACAATTTTCCATAAGGTGTACAAAGTCTTTTAACATTTTCCGTTACTTAGACAATTATATGTTATATTTTGAATTATTGCCCAATATATACGTTTAATTTTCTTGCAATTATTCACAGATAGAAATGACAGGATTATTCAGCTCATTGTTTGATTGAAAACCATCATTTTATTGTTTTTGAAAACCGCAAAGAAAAATTTTATTAGATTGAGGTTTAAAAATAAAATCATATTTTTTAAATATTTCTTAAAATCTAGTTTTAATGTCTTTGATCTTCATTAAAAAGTTTTAATATTTGTTAAATAAAAAGGTTTTAGGAATTGGTAAGAACGGTAATATAATTTTTTTGTTATGCTGCGTAGTTATTTATTGTTTGCTGTGTTATCTCATTTACAAAATTTGAGAATATTAATATTTAGGGAACTAAATTATTTTTAAATGTAAATTATTAGCACATAGATTTAGATTGCTGGATAAAATCGAGATACTTGTAAACATGAGTGAAAACTTCAGCTTGTCCCGAACCGCAGGGCGGAGACCAAGAGACGAGGCCAACGAGTTGCCCGTTGACAACGAGAGGACCACCGCTATCACCCTAGAAAAAGTGCGACAAATAATTCTTAATTAATAATTCATAACAATGAATGACGAAACAGTGTCATATAATTAATAAACTTTATCATTAAAAATCCGCCTGTATAATTTAATTTACAAATGTTTCTTAGTGAAAACGATACGAATATTTAAGTGCTCGTGAAATGCGTTGTGCATAAGATAAAAAGTAAGGGTAAAAGTAACTCACACTGCAGACACCTTTCCTATTTTCCTGCGTACACATCTGGCCTGGGTTGGTACGTGGAAATCTGTGTGCATTTAGGCACTGATTTTGGCTTAAGACGTTCACAGTAACCCATCTGAGCATGTTCGGAGTTGCCGTATTATGTTCACTTAGTTGTCCCCATCCGCTTATGATACCGCGTTTACCGCCGTATTCCTCTTTATTTGCTAAAGGAATTGTACGTTGCAAGTCGTTCATTGTTATCGGGTTTGCCAACTATGTAAACAAACGTGTGATATGAATCAACCAAAAATAAGAATAACCAAGATACATATATATGATTTCTTTAATATAATTCTGTTCTTCGCTTTCTAGATACTTGATGAACTTATAATAAACTTACGGTGATTATAGCGATATCATCTTTCCAGCCATCTTCCATTCTATTACTGTAGCCTGGATGTATTCGAATGCACTTGATTTGGTGCCTTTTACCATTCTTGTTCAGGTCGTTGGTTCCGCTTACAACAGTCTGCAAATTGAGCAATTCGATAAGACAATTGGGAGAATTTAGAAGAGATAATGCATATTAATGAAAAGTAGGAACACATTATAGAAAAATAGTCGAATAACAGAAAGAAAGGGAAAAGAAAGCAATACGTAAATGAGTCAGAAAACGATATTAAACTTAATTTCATGATTTTTTTTGAATATTTGCTTATCAAGAGACACGGTCTTGCGCCAAGTGTACACGTAGCACGAGTGTGTTATAACTTATGCTTTAATGTCCGGTTAAATGGAGAAATACCCGTGAATTGAATTAATTCAGATATTAATGGGCTATATATATACATTTATTATTATTATTATTGTTGTTGTTGTTGTTATTATTATTATTGTTGTTGGTATTATTATTATTATTATTATTATTATAGCTGAATATCTGTAATATCCAAAATAACTAGGAAATATCAGACACGCGGGTACCGAATATCACGATACTATCCAGGATATTTTTGATATAAGAATAATAATACTAATAATAATCGAAACATTATTCAAATTAATTTGATTCAATTATTTAAACAATATAAATCATTTTCTAAATGACTTAGATATAAACAGACAGAAGTAACATATTGATACAAGCAATTTTAAATTTCTGAACTATTTTTAATTAATAGAAATAATGTAATTTTATTATTTGTTAAAATATTTTGATTTTCTCTCTCACAAGAAATAATGATCTTTTAGAAGTTAATCGAAATGAAGATACATGCAAGATCATTCTAAAAATGTGACATAAAAACATCATTGTACATCACTGTGGATATTTTGTCTATATATTAATAATCTACTTAAATAAAATAGTAATAATAAATGTTTTGATTAATAATAAAATTTTGTGTAATTCGAAAGGAATACAAGGTAAAAACAAAAAACGTACCATATATTTATTGTATCTTGGATCATCTACGCAATGAGCGGCAGTAGCGATACACGTAGGACTAATGATGCTACCGCCGCAAATATGCTGGCCCTGCACTTGAAGGGAGACTTGATGTGGAAATTGACCGGGAACAGCTTTGTCACCACCAACGATAAACGGTTCAGTTTCACCGCAATAAGCCCCTGTATGCAATAATTAAGAATCGAAATTATTATCTATTATTCCGTTATATTATTATGTATTATTATAAAAATATTTGATATTATTAGCTACTTTTTTGAAAATATTTTCTATTTAACAAAACAGGTAAACAATATTCGTATTTTTATCAAAATGACAGGAGAATATATTTAAAAAATCCATCTTTAAAGAACAGATACATAACTATTAACTTCTGTTAAGTTTTGTTTTATAAAAATTAACAGATACGTCTATAAAAAAATCTACACATATTATTCATGTGTTTGTAAGTTACCGGTTTTTGTTTACTTACGTTGGGCAATGGTAACAGCAAGCAGAATAATTAACTTCATCATCTTCGCAAATTCAAATTCAGATAGACTTGCGAATTCGACTGAGGAAGCCACTGTATCGTCCCTTTTTATACATGTCGCTTACCATTAGACTGCCATGTATTGTCAGCGCTTTTAGCTATTGCATCTTGTCGTCTTTATTTTTTACGTCTAATTAATAATAAAGATAATTAATGATAGAATGATTAATGAATTGACATAATAGCTCCAATTGCACGCTTCCGGAACGTAGTCTTAGAATACATTGTCATCGCTATCTGACGCTAATGCATCATTCTATTGTGGCGATTATATCGCCATGTCTCTTCGAAAGGTATACATATTAGGACATGTGCGATATACGCAACTCACACATATTTGCGTCACATCGCAAACACATTAATTAATTAATAATTTATAACATCGAATATCAAAATGATTGCATAATTAATAAACATTGTCATTAAAAACTCCCGTATTTAATTTACTAATTTTTATACAATCAGTTCTCCTTTTTCTTAAAAATTTATTTTATTTATATAATTTTTCTTTATTTTAAATAAATATGTATGCACAAAATTTATTTACAAAAATACTTTACATTTTAATATATCAAGAGAAAAAATGCAAATTTTAATAAATCGACTCTAATAGAACAAATTCATTATAAAATAATTTAAATGTACATGACAGAAATGTACATATCCAGTCCATTTAAATATCAAATCCTAAACTGTTCTAAAACGCGCAGCATTGGATTGTAAAGCCCGATGTCTCTCAAATTTCTTCTTTTTCTAAAATTCATTCATTGCCTTCGCAATTACAATTGCGCGTACGCTGATCAGCCGAATACAACGATAGAGCAAAGCTTTCCGTAGCACTGCCGGTATCAAATACTACGATCGCACGAAACTTTCGACAACGCTGCCGATCGAATGCGACGCGAATTTCTAACAAAATATGTGAAACTATTAATAAGAGATAGACATATCGCGATTTATTCAACTAAAAATCTGACTGATAAAACTTACGTTCTCAGCAAAAAATTTAAAAAATTGTATTTATTATCCTTTAGATTTATTATTGCAAAATAATTATTATGAGATATGTTCAAATCCCAGACCGGTTAGTAATTATTTAGGCAAATAATTACTGACTGAAATAGAAGAATATTTTGTAACTCTCGATAGCTCTAATTCTTGCTTTCAATAAAATGAGTCGTATGAAGTATCCTCTTCAATATGATAAATAGCTAGTCATAGCTTCAATATGTATGTAAAACGTTAAGAAGGAGGAGAGTTAATTAATAACGAGAACTGTATTTTCGTGAAATGCTCGTAAGAAGATCATCGAGAGATAATAATGCCAGAAATAAAAGGAACACCATTTCATCGTTTTTCATATAAAATTGTTTTACTTACATTGTTTATACTTTAATTCTGAAAAATATTTTCAAATCTTTAAGCAATACCTACAAAAATTATTGTGTTTACAGTTGATAAAACAAATGATTTTTAGTAAGAATCTCCTTAAAATAAAAAATATTTTTTTGAAAAAACAAAGTATCATTTTTAAATAACATACAAATAAATGAAATTGTAATTAATTATATATTTTCAGTTTAAATTTTCGTTTTACTTACAGATATATATTAGTGAAATCAAAGAATAATTGTTATGAAGAGAATATTTTCTGACAATGAATTAAAAATAGTTGTAAATAATATATACATATGTAATATAAATTCTTTTATATTTATATTTTAAGTTTATATGTTATATTTTATACTAGAATGTTTTTTATACCTACATATATATATAAGACGTACACACTTTTAATTCTACATAATAATCCCTGTCGCTGTAACAAATTAATTATACGTTATTAAAAGATTTAACGAGAACAAAAAATAAAATCGTAATGGAATAATGCTTTTGTCACGCGCGGCGATAAACTATGCTTGTAAACAAACCAAATTGCTATGACGGTGATAACATATATCATAACTAATATAATTCTTATACAATATATAATTAATAAAAAATTAAGATATTACAAAAAGATATTACTTTCTGACGTATAAAGTCGTTTTTCACTATTCTCACAATGCTAATGCAAAATAAATAATATCATTCAAATTTAATTCCATGAGGGACCAAACCCGTTGCAATAAAAGCTGTACCAGTGCGATATGGCTGGATCGATCAAGGTTCACTACTTCACTGGTAATTGCTATAACTCTAATAATCCATTTTCTAACAATGGTTACCCAATTTTAATCTACTCATGATTATTTGTCGAATGTGTTATTCGCCACTGGAGCGGTGTAAATTATTCTAACACATCAATGTCGAATCAGTTTTAATATAATTATAATTCACTTTGATAAAACGTCAGTCTATGTTTGTATTTCGCCCGAGAAAGATGCAGGAAGCTCAACGTCTTCGTGGCTTGTTCTCTCTAGTATTGGTGCTTTTGTTTATAGACAGCTGGTTTGTCACGAACGGATATCCGAAGCAGCTTATCAATCCTTGGATAAGACCATCATTAATATCATCGAAACTGATGAAAACAAGAAGGGCCTCTGGGACAACTATTAGTTACAGACGTGAGTAAAGAAAAAAAATTTATTCTTTAATTATGCCTGAAGAGTGTACAAACATTTAGAAAGTGCCACGAGTCACGGAGATATCTAAAAATGAAAATGACTAAATAAACTTGATATTTTATAAATATAATATTTATTTTATTTTATAAATATAATATTATTCTTAGTTGATTCATGGTCTCAGTATGATAATCCTGAAGAAGGTACAAAACGAGAGGGGGATTTACAGCTTTCGAAAACGGGAAAAACCATTACAACCGATGAAACTTTACTGTGGCCCAATGGTATTGTGAATTACTACGTTCATTCGTCGATAGGTAAGCCATTTTTGTAATTCTAAATCGGGTGATCTACACAGAATCAAGATGAGCTCACAATTAATAATATGGAACGTTTATATGTTCCATTCAAAGTCAAACATATCTGCTTATCAAATCTAAATATTTAAAGATTTTATTTTCGTTCCAGCTAATGAGCCGATGAAATTCGCTGTGCTGGAAAAAGCGTTACATACCATAATGTCCAAGACATGCATTAAATTCGTGCGTATACAAGAACACGCAAAGCTCCCTGCAAATATGAGTTGGGTCAATATCACGGGTCACCGGAAAGGTTGCTTCTCCAATTTAGGACATAAAGCATGTGGGCCTACTACTTTAAACCTAGACGTGAACGCGTGCTTCCGTACGATTGGACACGCGATACACGAGATGTTGCACATTTTAGGTGTATACCATGAGCATATGAGACCAGATCGCGACGAATACATTACTATAATGTGGGAAAATATAAAAAAGGGTAAACAAGAGGCTAATCAATTTAATATCAAACTAAAAAGAGAACTAACAAAAGATTCTTTAAGGAAATGCATTCAACTTCTATATATTGAATAATACCGTAATAACCGATTATGGTTTACCGTACGATTACGACAGCATAATGCACTATTCTATGACGGCGTTTTCTATTAATAAGTCGCTTCCTACAATAATACCTACGGTAAATAATATCGAAGATCCTTCAAAAACTAAATAAAATTTTCAATACTTTATTAAATTTGATTCTTAGCACCGAGCAATATATATATATAGCAATATATAATTTTATTGATTGAATCGATAAAATAAAATTATGCTTTTACAGTTGTCTTATGTAGAGATCGGTCAAAGAAGTCACTTGTCATATTATGATATACAGAAATTGCGAATTGCTTATAATTGCAGTGCCGTCGATACTAATAAATTGAAAAAGAATGAAGAATCCAACTTGGAAAAACCCAAGAGACGCAAAGAATTGCCGCAACAAAATAAAACAGACATTAAAATAAAAGTAAAACCACAAATGCCGATGATTATTATACAGAATTCGATATCAAACAAACTGGATAAGAATGCTGACCTAGAAATGCCAATGAACAAATTTAATCAAGTACCTTTTCTTAAATCTATATATCCTATTAATTCTATTCAGTCTAATTATTATCGTGTGTCTCTAAGTCCAATGTATCGATATATAAATTTTCATATTTATTTGCATAAGAATATTTGCATAAGAATTAATAATAAAACACATACAAAAAAATAAATTTTTTTAAGTAAAGTTAAAAAATAAATTTAATTGATGTTAAGAAAGAATATATATACATTTTACCAAACAAATTCTAATGAGAGATTTTTATATCATGATCATATCAGTATTATCGTTAATTATGACTATTAATTTCACATCCACAAATCTTTAAATGGATATCAGTTTTACATATTTTTATTCTTATTTATAATTGGTTTACAGTTAGTCAGTATTCTTTACTTTTGTCTTTTCGTTTATGATCACTATGTTTCGAATGTCTTTCTGATGATTTATTGCGATCTCGAGATTTATGTTTCTTTTCGTGGTATTTATCTTTGTGTTTGTCTTTGTTTCGATGTTTGTCTTTTTTATGTGACTTCCGTTCCCTCGAATGCGAAGACTTTCGATATTCACGTCTGTGCTTTCTCTCCATTTCATCTGAATATCTCATCTGCTTATCTCGATCTCTTGATCGATGATTTCTTTCTTCTGAACGCTCCCTTCTTTGACTATCTCTTTTCTTCTTATGATAATGATGATCGTTTTTTTCAAAATTATAATCGTCATAGTTGCGGGAAGAAGTATGAAATACTTTATACAAACGTTCTGTTCTGTCTTGTATCTGTTCATGATCGAAATCGTCTGTTTTGGTATTCCGAACATCTGTTGCACGTTCAGAATTACTTTGTCCGGAGATATAATCCACATATATTTCCATTTGTTGATTAATCACTTCTCTGAGAATTTCAACGTGAGATTTTTTATTTGTATGAACGCCTTTATGCTTTGCTCTACGCCTTTTCAAGTTACGCTCTTGTATTAACAACTCCAAAAATGACAATTCTTTATCTTCTTTTTGTTGTGGCTCCCTGGAAAAACAAATGTAACAATATTTATAAATTTAAAAAAATATGTAATAAAATAAGTAGTACATAAATATCTAGCACACATTATATATATCTATATACATTAATTCCAAATAAGTAAGAAAGAAATTTAAATACAATCGAGATTAGATATTGGTTGCCTATTAATTTTTTTTAATTTTTAAATTTTAGCTACAGTAAACTGTGTGGCAATTATATTGTCGGTCTTTTAGAACACATAACTTAAAGTTAAAACAATTCACATATTTCAATAATCCTCAATTCGTTGTTACAAATATTATAAAACACACTATAAAGAACTTTGTGCAAAAAATATGAAATATCCTGAGGTCAGGAAGCATTATCATCGAATTGAAGATCATTTTAATATATGATATTGTTTTTTTCAGCTTTAAGTTAGGGTTACGTTCTAAAAGACCAACAATAATCAGCGTCCAGTTTCTGTAGCTGAAATTAAAAAATTAATGGGCAACCAATATTTAGCCTCATCTATATTTAGCTTTTTTTCCTTACTTATTTGTTGTGTATATATAACGACTTTATTAAAACTATTTGTTAATTCTAAATATCATCAGTTCATTAAACTTACAGATTATTAATGTTTGCAATGTCGTCTCCGATGTCTGGCTTCGAGGTATTAGCAATAACATAGTCATACAGCGCTTTCCTCTCGTCGCTGGTGAAATCTATGACAATCCTATCAGATGTACGCGGTACTAACCGCTCACCCATACCTATCAGTGTTAAGAATTCATATTTTTCATAGTTATAACAATATAATTATAAATATCAAAATATAATAAAAGCTATAATATAAGGTATAATAAAAGCTCTTGTGCAATTTTAAAGAAATAACTGTACAGTTCTTTCAATTGCATTACTAGACAGGAAAAGAACATTATTAGATTGCAAGTAATGTAGCATACGCATTTCGTTTTTATATAAAATATTGAATAAAGGATATGTAAAAGGATATATTGATTCTGCACCAAGTATAACATTCACAACTCGCTGGAAAAAATTCCATTTGTCATTCAAGAGGCAGAATAACACATATAATCGTCAAGTTTTTACTAACCGGTGCGCATCGCTGGATTTTGTTCTTTAGCCTTCTTGAGAATTTGTTCTTGCAGTTGCTCATCTACAACAGACATTTCATTAGAGGCGTAGAAAGTTTGAGTTTCAGGGCTACGTTTGGAAACGTCACCCGAGTGTTCTCGTGCATCATTTTATCCTTGTTTAACAGTCGATGAACAAGAAGAATAAAATGATACATTGGGACACTCGAGTGATGTTTTCGAACGCAGCTTAGGAGGCTCAACGCACTTGTACTAGAGAAGTTTCTTACCAAACTTTATGCAAAATGGTGAATCCTCCGGTAAAGTTGGCTCTGATAACGGGACATCTAACTTTCCGTATCCTTCAGCTTTCCATTGACAAGAGGCAAGGTGGTCATTGAGAGAGGCTTCGGTTAACCGATGGGACGGATCGTACGGGCATGTGAGATACTCCTTGTCCTACGTGAATGCAACAGTTCCATTGAAATCAACATATTCCAAGAAAAACAAATTCCAATTGTGCTTACCACATTTATCACGCTCTCCATCGTCCAGCCTAAAGTTCCAACGATGTTAGCAATTTCCTCGTTAACCGTATCGGTGAAGCTCTTCAGTTCCTCCAATTGTTGCTCACGAGAATCATTTATATTCTTCAACATTCTGCTCAATTCTGTTTCACGCGGGAATGTAAATTAACGTTAAACAGATCCAATTCATCGTACAATAATATCACAATGTATACAACAGTGCTTGTATAAAGCTCTTAGAATTAAAAAAGTGTCAATTACTTGTATATAACCTCTTTGAAATTACGTCGGATCGGATTGAGGTTAGAATACCCAGTTACTCCAGTTTACTCGTGCACAGGTGTGTCGTGTGAATAGTACACACACCATACACACCACACACCACACACACACACACACACACACACACGTTCGTCGTTCGATCGTCGTAAATGGAGGCATCTGTTGGTAACTACGTAAACCAACAAGCCACAAGCTGGTCGGCTGGTCACACACGCAACGTGCGATTTATCAATATTTATCAATATATTTACTGCCAATTCTGGCATTAACACTGCTGAATCTCTTACATGATCAATTAAATAATTGTGCACATGTCGCTACACGCGTGTAAACACTGTAGACAATCGTTCTTCGCAAACTATAGGTATTCGTATTTCGCACGTAGAAGTACACGTGCCAATTTGAAATTTGAAGCGCGCTCCGCAGCACTCGCACTTTTACACGTACATTTTTCACGTATCCGTCCAAATCTTTACAGAGAGAGAGAGAGAGAGAGAGAGAGAGAGAGAGAGCGTCGAATGAGATTATATATAGCGTCGATATGCGACTAATCAGTAATCACCGTAGTTCGCTGTGAAACACGCGGAAGCGATCCCGCGAAACACGCGGGTCCGATCATTATTTCGATCAAATCGTTTGTATCTCGATTTCGGAATATATCGATTGCGGGATCGCGCGCGCCTGGATCGGCCGCCATGACAGTCTTCGTCACTCTTTCGGCAATGGTGCGTGCGTTGGCTCGGAGCGCGCGGCGTGGAGAGCGCTCCGCAATTAATCGCGAATTTCACCCGTTGTAAGGATGCACCTGAACGCGAGGTTCGGTCGGGAATGTTGGCCGGAGCAACCGGCCATCGCCGGAACGTGTATCGGTGTTAACGCGGGGTCCTCGTGATCGGCGTCGTTTCGTCGGTCGCTCGACGCTGCGTCGTAATCAACGTACAAGTTTCGGAGCGCGCGGCGTGAGATCGCTCGTCGCAATTGATCGCGAATTTCACCCGTTAGGGATGCACCTGAACGCGAAGTTCTGTCGGGAGTGTCGGGAGTGTTGGCCGGAGCAACTGGCCATCGCCGGAATGTGTATCGGTGTTAACGCGGGGCCCTCGTGATCAGCGTCGTTTCGTCGGTCGCTCGACGCTGCGTCATAATCAACGTACAGTCTCGGAGCGCGGGGCGCGAGATCGCTCGTCGCAATTGATCGCGAATTTCACCTTGAATGCGAAGTTCTATCGGGAATGTTGACCGGAGTAACGAGCCAACGCGCCGGAACGTATCGGTTAACGCGTTATTTCGTTGATCTGCTGTGCCGTGCATCGTAATCAACGTACAGTTCCAATTCCGACGACGTAGGCGTACAAAAATCATCCTTACGTTCTTTCGCGAGGTAAGTTACTTGAAACGAGACTCTCCTCATCGTTGATATAACGTGTCGAAAAATTAATTCATACGCCTGTTGCATCCTAATGCCATGGAAAATCCGCCGCTGATTATGAATACAGAATAACCTATAATAACGCCGCGTGAAGCATTAATGGGATACAATTCTTATTAGAGGTCTTTTATTCTCGAAAAATTTCACATATGAAAACGGACGAAAATACTATAATATATGTATATTGTAGATTTCCCTGTATTTATTGTATGCGAAATTTTTCTAGAATAAGAGCTCCCAGTAGCGCGAACGTACGGCAGTTCCGTCAAGAGAAATTCGTGCGATCGTAGTATCATTGGTTATAGTTTATACTGTACCAGTAATACGAACATATAGCAATTCTATCATGTAATTATACTGTGCGACTATAGTATTATACTACAGATTTTTTACAAATTAATTATTTGCATAAATTAAATATATTGTATGTTATACAAATACTTTAATTCGAATATACGCATTATTTATATAATAATTGATAATATTTATGCATATGGTAATAGGTACTATTTATACATGTAGTAATTAGCAGTGATTATAATTATTTTGATTAGCTATTATTTAATGTACTACTCGTTAGTCTGTAAATTAGAAATGCAAAATTATTGCAGTAAATTTTTATTTTTTAATTATATGTATGAATTAATTGAAATTTGTAGTATTTTATATATTTGTATTTATCGACAGTGTTGCTATTATTTTTATGATTACTATTGGCAGTTTAGTAAATTAGAAGTGAAGTCGCCATAGTTAATGTACTGTAATTATGTATAGGCTTTTTTTTTATATTTCTATAATTTTTCATAAAAAATTTTTTGTATTTTTTTATATTTTTAATGTACTTAAATTTTTTAATTGCATTAGAAATGTAAAAAAAAACTTTTGATATGCAGTATAATAATTGATTATAATTAGATTGCTGTAGTTAATACTGTAGTCGCTACGATTGTAGAATTATTTATTTCATTGTTTGAATTATAATTTTATGGCAATAAAAGCAAATGTTGCATTAAAATAAACATGTAATATTTAATATGTCAAGAAAACTATTAGATGACAGTTTATTTATTATAGATAGACGCAATCAGCGGCGGTAAATTTTGACACTACAGAAATAAATTTGATTTGAAAATCTTTACATCGAGATTTTTGTGACTTGTGTACTACATTTAAAGGAAAATATTCTTTATCATATGTTCGTAATAATAATTAATTATAATTTATGCGCGGACGCGTCGCAAGAAAAGAAAACTAAAGAGAAAACTCTGCCTTACATTTCACATTTTACTACGTGAAGATATCGTAGCATGAATTTGTGATTTTCGCGTTTCTTCGAAAATGAAACGTGCGGATCAAGTTTCGGAGTTCGTTTAGTGATGTGCGTACTCGTTTCTAGGGATAACTGTTTCTTCGATGGAGCCGATGCGGATCATTTGAGGCGGAATTTGCAACGGGTGGAGTAACTGCAATATCACAGGTGGTGAGTAAGATTAGTTATTTATTAATTAAATATATATTTATATGTGTAAAACTGTAATTATATATGCGCGCGTACATACAATTGCTATCATTTATTAAATATTTTTTAAAATATTTGAATATATCTATTCGAAAAAATTTGTCATACATTTTATATATATTAACATTTTTATTGAACATTTAAAATATTTGATGGCTACAAAATTAAATCAGTAAGAGTTAATTAATTAATTTCAGAAATTAATCTCTAAAAATTTTTTAGTTATTGTACATATTTTTAGTTTATTTCCTGAAATTCAAGTAATATCAGTTCTTATTTTGATATATTTTTTTAAATTGTATCTGAAAAATTTTTTTATAAAAATTTATTAGACGTATAGATAAAAAAATATTGAGGTATGAATATCTAAAAAAAAAACGAAAAATATAAAAATAAAATATTTAATTGGAAATAATATATTAAAAATAATATCAGAAACTATTAAAATAATTATTTATATAAATTGTTGTATATACAATAGCTGCACTTTAGTCAAAATGAGAATAATTAAATACTACGTGATGATCAACGTGTTATATAAAATTGTATGATGCAAATCACGTAATAATTATAATACATTAATTCTTCCATTTGAAAGTATACGTAATTGAGGTACACCGACTAGTGAGAGTGCCCATTTATTATACTATACGATACTGATATCATCTATCTTCTTAATAAAAAAATTATTATTTGCCGTTATTGACCGTATAAATATTAAAGATTACTTTTGCGTCTAATTAAACTCCGACGATTGCGTTCTCGTTTACGACTTGCATTTCTGCGTATAAATAATAAAATAATCAGTCAGTGGCGCGCGCAGCTTGATTAAAAAACTCCTACAATATGGTAGTTCTAGGCGTTCGTCTATTTCTAATGGAAAATTTCCCGTATATTTGCTATTTCTTTTACTGTATAACGGTCTTCGAAATGTTCAGAGAGGTTGTTTGCATTTCAACAAATGGCGTAGCAAAAGAATCAACGCAAAAGCGGGATAACGTCGGGCGAATAGCGTGCAAACGTTGCAGTCCCGATGAATTCATGAAACGCTGCTTCGAGTCAACAGTGTTTCAACGACCGCTTTAATTAAAGTCAAATTATGCAGGGAAACGTACGTGCTAACGAACATTCAAATGCGCATTCGAAGGAACCGGATCCGGTTCATGTGGCGTTCCGACGATCAGAAAAGTGCTTATTACAAGCCGTCACCATGGGCGTATAATCCTCTTTCGATTTATCTTTTGATGAATAATAATTAATCTTTTGATAATTAATTTCAGTCGTTGCAGCATTGAATTAACTTTTTTTTTATATATTGAAGAGAAGGTATATAAAATAGTATTCTATTTTATGGAACTGATTATGTGTTTGAGAGAGTAAATATCTGAAATATTACAATGAATTTTGTTTAGCTGATTACTGAGAAAACAATAATCTAAAATTATTATTCACATCTGACATTCGTCTTCCTAAAAGCGATCAGTTCTTGGCTTAGCCACGTTAATTGGAGACAGTCGGTACAGTCACGACAATTTTCCTATCGATAAATCCATCGGCGGTCGCGAATATTTCCGACTTCGGCCAGGAAGAAAAGAAGAATCACTAGGTGCCGTGAATCAAAACGACAGCTACAAAAGGCAAGACAAAGTGCCTTCTCGCCGTGAGAGAACCAAATTCGCGCGCGAATCGCGCGGATGTTCCCGTCGACGTCTCCGATGAGAAAGCAGAGCAGAGAAGGGGACGGGGGGGAGGGTAGAGTAGACGAGAGACAGAGAGAGAGAGAGAGAGAGAGAAATATAGAGTGAAAGAGCGAGATAAAGAGAATCGCGAAAGAGAACCGCGGTGAAACGGGGTGGGAGAGAGGCGAGAGGCGAGAGAGCGAAATGGCTCTCGACTGCCGCTACCAGACAAAGAAGCCCGTCAAGCACGATGATGGACGCCTTCATGAACGACCCTACGGAGCCCCGTACATCACTTTTATTACCGCCGTCCTCATTTTCATATTTCATATTTACATTTCTAGACCGCCGTAAATCAGCGAATTTATGGGTAATTAGGCCTTTGTGCCGTGTGGAAGCCCACACCCGAATCCGCCGAGGGCTCGGGGCTTATCGAACGATACGAAGTGCCGGCGGCGGCGGCGGCGGCGGCTTATACCACCGTGGAGAGGGCGGACTTTTCCCTTTCGCACCCCCTCGGCATCGCCGACAGCGGCGCGGCCCCCGGCTCGACTCGTTTCTTACCACCGCGCGCGGAGAAACGAGTGGAATGACTTCTCCCGACGAGTTTTTCCGTACGGAGCACCGCTCCGCCCGCGCTTCTCTTCCCGCCTCTCCAAAGAGATTTCTGAAGTTCGTGAGGGTGGAGGGAGGTGGGACTCCGAAGTTTCCGGGAGTAATAAAAATCTAGGGCAGATTGGAAGGATTGTTCAATTTTATTTACCGCGATGTCCGCCGCGAAACGTGTTAAAACTTTTACATTCTCTTCGTTAAGGCGTCTCGTATCGCGGCTGCATCGCAGCTTCGCGTGATACACCTCGAAGATTCGCTCGTGGCGAATCGATCATGCGTATGGATTAGGTTCGTTAGATTTCATTCGCCGAATTCGCTTTTATTAGACGAAACAGTGTCTACAAATATACATTTAAATTGGAACTACAATATAATCTGGTGAATAAAATTTTGACGAGTTTATAAAGCCTATAAACTATAGACAGATTTCTCTTCTGATGATTGCTAAATATACGAGTATCGTGCATTATTTCCTAAGTTTATAAAGACTATATTAATTCCCTTATTATTATGTTATCTCATTTATACTTTAATTATCTGATTTGATTCTACTCGCTTTCACATCAAGAAAAAATTCATTCCTATTTAATTAATTAATTTAATTTTACAAGGAAATTTAAATTTTTCGATTTTTGGAAAGTTAAAATTCCATTTTAGATAGCACGTAACGTTATTTCGAATAATCAACGGCCGCGACTGAAACATTAATTTTCGCGGGGATCGTACTTATCTTACATATTTGCAACAACGGACAGGATCTTATGACAGCTTCAAGAAAGGCGTCGGAAGTTCACGTCGATGAACGGGAGCTATTTCGAGTTCCTCAGCGTTGTTCGAGGAGAAGGCACTGACGTTAGCAGCGAGCTACGAGCCGTTGAGCGTATTACGGCCTCATAAAGGTCTCCGTTAATATTTAATAGTGCGTTTTAATGGTGCACGCAGGTGCGAGTACATCGTGTCGTCTACTTTCCGCCCTCCTCGTGCATCCTAAGTATCTGTTAATGACGGCTTACAACGAAATGGCAAAGTTCCCTTCCTTCGGCTGTTCTTCCTAGCCCTATCCGGTTCGCTACATTGATGCGAACCTGCCGTTGCGATTGTGCAATGTTAAGATGTTTCTTAAATTATGGTTTTCAACGAGAATTCAACGAAAATTACTGTAGAAATGGTAGCCTTTACTTTTGAAATCTTATGGCACTTGATCTTTCTATTTTTATTATTTTATTTATTATTTTATTATTTTATTCTTTTTATATAAATAGCATGAAATCATTCTCAATTTAAATAATAGTGATCACAATCAAATTTTAGGATTAATTATTGAATATAAAAAAAATAATCGCGTAATTAAAGATATATTTCAGAGAATCTTATCGACTTCTATTAAATATTTAATAAGAAAGCAAAGTCGGCAAACTGAAAACCAAATCCAAGATCTACACATAAAGAACGGTTTTGCTAAAGGCAAATGGTTTATCTAGAAATTTGGTTGGATACAAATCTGTAAGTAATTTTGTTGGATTATCAAAAATAATTATTTGAGACGTTCGAATTGCTTACTAGAGTGTCAAAAGTTTTTGCAGCATTATTTTATCATGCTTGAGCATTTTTATGTAATTATTTTGATGGTCCAACACAAAATTATTTTCAGATCTATCTAGCTAAAATTTTAGATAGTTCAGCAAAACCATATTGTTTCGTTTATATTTAGTTAATACTTAATATGTACGTTAATATAGCATTAATCATTAAATATCTTAAAATATTATGATCGTTACGTTCATTTGCGCTTTTATTTATGAATCGCATGCCAAATCTTCATAACATATTTATTATATCGAAACGACGCGTTCAATTACCAAATACTGATCAATATTGATAACTGTATGTAACAATACATCAGCATCAGGACATTCGCATTTATGCAAATTATTTGATTCGTGTTGCAATATTCGGCAAACCGTCTCTAAACATTTGTTGAATGTTTATCTGGTGCATTAGCAGCTTACAGTGCATATCTAAATGCGACCACTCGCCCAATACTTGTCAAGCCGAGATAGGTAATGCTTCGTATAGATCATATGACGCGTATGACAATGTAATAATTCATATCAACGTGATAATTCCACAATTGGATATGACAAAAGCAAAATTTGTTAAATAAAATATGATATATTTATATTTGTCTCGCGTACATTTGATCAATAAATGCGGCGTTTAGAAAAAAACACTAAATCCCTTATGACACATAATTTGACATAAAAAAATTTTACTATGTTTCAAGTTTTGTTGATGTAAAATTTCGTTACCGTGCAGTGATGACACATATACGTTACCTCGTAACAAATTCTTAAGTAAAATGTAGCATATATATTACGTTCTCTCTAAATTTTCTGAAGTGACTTTCACTTTTTTGGAGTGAATTTTCACTCTTTTGGAGTGAATCTCACTCCAAATAAGTGAAAATACTGCCACTCGAATGGCCGAGTGGCAATATTTTCACTCCAGAAAATTTAGAGAGTTGAATTATTATATTAAGATTATTTAGCCCTTTTCACAATTCTCTCTGTCAAATAATCCTAAAGTTTAGAAACGCGAAAAAGAGAGATAATCTCGTTCCGTTGACCATGCTACAGGAGATCAAATCGCGGATCATTTGCGCCGGTGGAA